CAGGCTGAGGGTAGGAGTCGAACGAAAGGCACCAGAGCTGAGGCGTAACCCAGTATGGTGCAGAGCATCAAGACGGCGAAGAGTAGAAGGAGAAGCAGACGAGTAAGCAGGGCAACCATAATCGAGTTTAGACAGTACGAGAGAGGAATGTAAAGAGAGGAGTGTGCGCCTATCCGCTCCCCAAGAAGTATGGGACAAAACCTTAAGTAGGTTAAGGGCCTTAGAGCATTCAACTTGGAGGTAAGAGATGGGGTGACCATGAAAAACGAGTGTCAAAGATTAACCTCAGAAGCTTGGCAGAATCTTTGTACACAAGGGTATGACCATAAAGCGACAAAGAGGGACGAAGAATGACCTGCTTCCGAGTAAGTCATAGCACAAGTCTTAGTTGTAGAGAACTTGAAGCCATGATTGGTGGCTCAAGATGACACAGTATCAGTCGCAAGTTGAAGCCGCTGTTGAAGGAGAGGCGAATCACCACCACAGCAAAGGGTAAGATCATCGATATAAAGAGCGGAGAAGATGCCAGAAGGGAGGAAAGACCATTGAGGGCAACCAGAAAAACAGTAGTGCTCAGAACACTACTTTGGGGTACACTTTCATATTGCCAAAAAGAGGCAGAGAGAGTGGTACCAAGCCTCACTCTAAAGGAACGACGAGAGAGGAAGCTTTGGAGGAAGAGAGGGAGATTACCACGAAGGCCAAAAGAACGAAGTTGGGACAGAATATGGTATCTCCAGGTGGTGTCGTATGCCTTTTCCAGGTCAAAAAGGACAGCAACAACGGAGGTCTTCGCAGCAAAAGCAGTACGAATATAGACCTCCAAGTTCACCAAGACATCAGTCGTGCTGCGGCACTTGCGAAAACCAAATTGAGAAGGGGAGAGGTGGTGATAGTGTTCCAAGAACCACATCAGACGGACATTGACCATACGTTCAAAGAGTTTGCAGACGCAACTCGTGAGGGCAATAGGGCGGAAGTCCTTAGGGGATGTCCCTAGAGACCCCAGTTTCCGAATAGGGAGAACAACGGCATCGAGCCAGTCCTCAGGGACTGACGACGACTCCCAGATACGGTTATACAGATTCAGTAAATACTGAGACGCGCATGGAGGGAGATGGCGAAGCATCTCATAATGAATGTCATCTGAGCCCGCTGCTGTAGAACCACAGAGGGCCAGAACAGACTGAAGTTCGGAGAGAGAAAAGAGATCATTATAGGGAATTCGGAGATGAGTGTAGAAATATAAGGGATGAGATTCAAGAACGGGCTTATGAAGAAGGAAGGATTGAGGAAGATGAGAACCGGAGCTAACAGTCGAAAAGTGGGAACCCAGTTCGGTCGCGACCGTCACTAGATCCGCCACAAGAGTACCACGGAGGTGAAGGACTGGCGAGACATATGGAACAAACTTACCTCTATCTTGAGGATTTTCTTCCAAATCTGTGGCAGAGGAGTATCGGACGTAATGGTAGAGACATAAGATTTCCAACTCTCATGTTTAGCTGTATGGATGGTCCTACGGGCCACCGCACTTGCCTTCCGAAACAAAATAAAAGAATCAACCGTCTGCCGGCGTCGGTGTTTCTTCCAGGCTGCACGCTTACAGCGGACAGCCCGAGCACAGTCCGCATTCCACCAGGGAACGCACTTCCGCATGCCCCGGGAGATAGAGCGAGGAATAGAGCAGAGGGCAGCGTCGAAGACGGTGTCATGAAAAAGGAGGAGGGCGCGAGGGAGAGGCAGAGTGGAGAGGTCAGAGAGAGTAGCATGGAGGGTGAATAGGTTCCAGTCAGCCTTGGCAAACTGCCACCTAGGGAAGGAGAGGGGAGGGTGAAAAGAGAAAAAGGTAACAAGGATGGGGAAATGGTCACTGTTATGGAGGTCATCAAGAACCCACCACGTGAAATCTAAGTAAAGAGACGACGAGCAGAGAGAAAGATCAAGACAGGAAAGGGTGCGAGTGCGGGAGTCCACATGAGTGGGTTCACCAGAATTCAGAAGAGACAGGGAAGAAGAGAGGACAAACGGTTCGAGAAGGCGGCCCCGGGTGTTTGTCAGAACATCACCCCAGAGGGTATGCCGACAGTTGAAATCACCCAACAGGAGCACAGGCTCTGGTAAGGAGTCCAATAGGTGCTTAAGATCAGGAAGAGAAAGCGGGACATTTGGGGGGAGATAAATGGAACAGACCGTATACCATTTACTCACAAAGACACGGGCTGCAGAACATTGGATAGGCGATTGAAAAAGTAGGGGGACGAAGGGAATATCAGTACGAATCAAGAGAGCAGTAGAGTTATGGGCCCCAGCAAAAGCTGGGGGGGGGGGGGAGAGAAAGGAATAACCACGAAAGTGACCAGGACGAGCACCAAGCATCGGCTCCTGGAGACATACACAAAGTGGTGAAAACTGTGTAATCAGAAGTTGGAGTTCATGGAAGTTGGCATAAAATCCACGAATATTCCATTGAAGAATAGACATTGTCAAAAAGAGAGAGGACAGCAACAGAGAACAATGAAGAAACAAAGGCAAAGAAGAACACAGCATATTAAAGAAGTTCAGGATCAGGATCAGGGTCAGTGAAATCAGGGTTAGGGGGCATGGGTAAACTTAGTAAGGACGATGGAGTTAAGGGAGCGGGAGGACAGACCAGAGGCGGACAGACAGGGTCCAGAGTAGGAAGAGACAACGAAGAGGGGCGGTCAGGGACAGAAGGGGGAGGGGGACAGAAACAGGGGAGCGCACCTCAGCAAGGGCAGCAACCGAGAGAGAATCGGGGGTTAAAAGAACCTCCATAGCTTGGACAGGGCGCTCGACCACCGAAATGGGAGGGGACGCAGTGGTACAGTCAGAGGTGGGGGCGAGGAAGAAAGCGATGCCTTCTTACCTGCCGGGGAGGAGGAAGGAGAGAAGCCAGGCTTACGTTTCTGACTTAAAGAGACAGGTGTGCCAGCAGCAACGTACTGGGCGACAGACTCAATTGTCTCAACAGAAGAATGGGAACGAACAACATGAGTGCTGGGAGGATGATGGACAACAGCCTGGACAGACAGGCAGCATGGAGGGCCAAGAGACAGGGGGAAGGGCTGGGAAGAAGGATCAGGGGGAGATGGGAAAGAAGACACAGGAGACACAGCAGACTGGGAAGGATGGAGGGGAAACTCCAGATGGAGAACCAGGAGGGGGACCCCTTGGGTCAGAACGTAAAGGAGCAGGGGAGGAGGCGGTGGGCGTGTCCGGGTCTAAGGTCTGGAAACGGTTGTGAGACTGAGAAAGGAGGGAAGGGCGAGGAGAGGTGGAACGCAGAACACGAGCATAAGATACGTTAGCGAAAGAGGAGACGGCGGACTTGGTGTCTCACCTCAGGAAAAGACAAACGTTCAGGGTGCTTCAAATTGAGGATGGCTTCCTCAAATTTGTAGTGTATACACGTGTGGGAGAAGGTAGGGTGGGCGTCACCACAATTGAGGCAGCGAGCCTGGGAAGAAGAGCACTCTGCCTTAGAGTGACCCGAGTCCCCACACATGGAGCATAGAGACACCACACTTGTGCATTTGAAGGCACCATGCCCAAATTTCCAGCACTTATTACAAAGCCTAGGAGAGAGAATGTACTCCTTAATGGAGCATCTGGCACCAGCAAGAATTATAGAAGGTGGAAGGATCCTGCCATCAAAAGTGATTTTCACAACTCGAAGAGGTTGATGACGACGACCACGAGGGGGTCGGGTGAACGTATCAACCTGGAGGACAGAATGGCCTTGGGCTTCAAGGATATGTTTAGTATCCTCGTGATAATCTTTAGGTCCCGAACACCAGTCGCAACATGGTGCGGGTGGAGAGCAGTGCCAATACTGGCGTTTAACCGGGCATTTTTGGAGATCCTAACAGGGGTCTTTCCAATACTGGACAATGCGGCTAAGCAGGTAGCTGCCTCCTGAGAAGGAGCAGCAAAGACACATATACCAAATTGGGTGGGGTAAAAAATGTAACAGAGGCATCTACAGAATCAACAAGGTGTTTATGAAGGAAGAAATCGTCAGAAAGAGTAGAATCCATATGAGTGAGATTAAAGTATTTAGTCCATGTAGCAGGACTAAACAAGGTGTTGAACGTAGTAGCACTGGAAGGAAATCGTGTGAGTGCGTCTGTGGGGGAAGTGGGGGGGGGCCTGAGCACCCCCAGTGAAGAGGGGGGAGGGGGAAAAAGGAGCAGTTGTCACAATCAGAGAAGTAGCCACTCCAGGTGATGAGGTGGTCACCACAAGGAGCTTGGGGGCTCAACCCTATCACAGAGGAGGGAGAGGCTTGCATAACCATGTGCATGGGATAGGGGGAGATGGGGGTAGTGGAGAAATGTCCGGAGGGTCAAAGGAGTAGCTTGGTCTGGGCCCAATGTATTTGGGGGCTACAGAGCCATATGGTCTTCCGCAACACAGTCCGACTCGGGAGGGGGGCTTTGTTGGTCGCCCACCCCACGAGCCTGGGAAGTTATAAGAGGATCATTATTCATTGGCATATAAACGAGGAGGTAATAATTTCATTCACGAATAAGCCCCCATACCCACCATGGAGCCACAATTAGAGGATAGGACACCCAACAAGAGACAAGAGAGGGGGCCCCCCAGGGGTGCGTCGTGAGTATACGCCCCACAATCGTCACCTTAAGAACGGTCAGTCTGTCGAGATCGGGTTCAGCAACGAAAGGAGGATTGACAATAAAAGCGTCCCTTCATTCGCAACATTGGGTACCACAGTTCTACGGGTGAGAGTGTGTGCCTCCCCAAACACCCGAGCGTCAAAACAGAAGATGTCCGAAAGAATAATCAAGACTGGCAAAAGGTCGGCGGGAAATGACAATTAGAAAGGAGAAGAGGGGGAGAAAAATGAAATATACATAAGAGGAAAAGACTTCCAGCATAATTCGTGAAGCCAGCAGCAGGAGCATAAAGCTTCAAAAGAACAGAGGACTGTCCCATGGAGCATCACATTCTGGCAGCCGCCCACCAAGCTCCCTCACAACGATAATGGGCTGGAAAGGGAGGGGGCCAGTCGACCCGGAGCCCCTTGACGCGCCCGCTGGCACCAACGACCAGCCGCCGGCCGCCTCGGAGCCACTCCCCGACGACGACAGTGACGACGGTGAGCCCTCAGTCCTGTGGCTAGTTGTTGGGCTTCAGGCCTATCAACGACGAGAAGGCCATTAAGGTACCCACAATACCTTACTGACCAACCAGCAAGTATACTTTAGTCCTGAATGTAGCCCAAGACTTAAGTAAATTCTTGAGTGTATACACCGAGAAGCAAGTGTGGTGCATCCTGGTGGTGTTCCCTCAGTATACAGACTGAGATATCAGCCTTGCATCTTGGACTCTTCCCAGGAGTTTGTTGATTTAGAAAAGCCTAGCCCTTTAGCAACAGGTTAAGCTTGAGCAGCAGAATAATAAATAGTTCAACTATTATTTGTTATCCTGGCGTACAAAAAACTTCAACACGGTAATTACCAGCTATTCTTTACAGTTAGATTTCGTTTGTTTTATAAACTATAGAAACATTCAGTTAACTAGATAGAAGTAATTGTAAAACCCATTTATACAAGTAGTAATATTGTTAGACACGTCCGTCTTCTATGAAAGGTACGGTTATCACGAGAGAGAGCTAAGGACAGTCTTTTAGAGAAACTTAACTAAAATGACTAAACTTGCTGGTCACTCAGAGAGTTCTTGATCCTTGACCACTCTGAGCTCTAGACCCTGGGTCACTCAGTGAGCTCTTGGCCCCTGCCACTCAATGAGCTATATGCCCTCAGCCACTCAGTGATCTCTAGACCATAGGCTACTCACTGAGTTCTAGATCCTGTGGCATTCAGTGAGTTCTAGAATCTGGGCCTAACAGCTAGTTTTACACCATGGGCCACTCAATGTGCTTTAGATCCTGGGCCATTCAGTGAGGCATAGAAGCTGGACTACTCAGTGAGCTTTAGATCCTGGGGTCACTTTGAGAATATTTAATTTTCCTTGTTTTGCCAGATTCCACGGATGACACGCCTCCGCCCACGGCATCCCCGCCGTCCGATAATCTTGGATGGGTGCCTTATGACCAGACGACGACGGAACCCAATTTACCAACTCCTACCCGGCCCAATAAGCCTTTCGACTTCTATATCGACTCCGTCAGATTCCTTCCAGACAACGTCACTCACTGCAAGGTGGTTTCTGGCGTATTACTCTTTATTAGTACCGTTTTTATCGTCACCTCCCGTTACCATTACTGTCGTTATCATCAGGATAACCAGTCAAGCTTTGTGTGTTCTTTTCATCTAGGTCATAAGTGGCATTCTATCTGGAAAAACACTTGCAAAAGAATGGCTGTCTAGATACGAACTCGTCAAGTTGAACTCTCCTAGTTGCATTTGCAGGGGTTGAGCTCCAGCTCTTCGGTCTCACTTCTATCATATCCACATTTGAAGCTGTGTATGGAGTCAGCCTCCACCACATCACTTTTTAATGCATTCCATTTAATTACTCTGACACTGAAGAAATTATTTTAATGTCTCTGTGGCTCATTTTGAAGAAATTCTTCTAATGTCTATGTGGATAATTTTGAAGAAATTCTTCCAATGTCTCTGTGACTCATTTGGAGACCACGTTTCCACCTGTGTCCCGTTCTTTAATTCCAGGTTTAATTCCAGGAGCCTTTTCTCGTAATTCATATCTCTCAGCACTGGGACTAATCTGGTGGCATACATCAGAACTTTCTCCAACTTCATCTTGCTATACCACCCATCATCTCTCCATATATAAAATTATATAAAGAGAGGGTGCTGGGTGGGAGTGTTGGTGGGTGAGTGGGGGGGGGGACTATTTGGAGGGTGGGAGTTGAGAAAATTATCACACTAAAGTGGAGAATTAATTATCAACCAAAAGCCCGCATAAGTATCTCTATCTGTGAACTCGAATTGTTTCTTCTTGAGTTATATCAAAGTGGTAATTTTAGTATGATATTAAATTAACCTGAAAGGCCTAAGTCAAAAGACTTAGGGAGGCCTATACTTACCCCTCTCGCCTCTCCTATACACCCCGCTCGCACAACCACGTGTGTTTACCAATGCGGTTATAGTGGGTTTGTAGTCTAATTCAATATCAAAGGATGGATGCACGTAAATACTATGGACTCTTCGGTCAATATTAAGTGAAGAGATATAACCTAATTCAGTGTGAGAGCACAGTCGGTGAAGACGTCGGTGAGGCTGTGGTCTCTGGGGCATCAAATTTAAGGTAGTTTCAAATAAGAAAATAAACACGTACACTCAGAAATCATTTTGAGAGAGACAGGAAACGGAATTTAGACAGTAGTCAATGTTTGTACAGGAAGAAATAACAACGATATAATGTTCTCTGCCTCATCTTCCTTCATTTATATCCCATCTTCTATTCTTCTCTTCCATCTTTCATTCCTCATTTCTTATTTAATCTTTCCCATCTTTTATTAATCATTATTATTATCATTATTATATCCCATCTTCTATTACTTTACTTTTGTCTTATGTTCATTCTTTCCCATGTTCCGTTTCTCGCATCTTATTCTACCTTTCCCATTTCCACATTTCTATCATATATTCCATCTAATCTCATTTTCAATCTTCCCAGCTTATATTCCTCCTGTCCCATTTTATTTTTTTCCCTCTCTGTTCTTTCTAATTATGTCTCATCTCTCATTTTCTATTTCCTCTACTATCTTTAATATATTTTATCCCTTCTACTTTTGCTTTCTTCATTACCTTCCATTCACCTGGGCTGTATGGGGTCTCGAACCCTGGACCCCATGTGTGTGAGGCTGACGCTCTATCAACTGGGCTCTATCAACTCTATCAGCTCTATCAGCACTTTTTCATTACCTTTCTAATTCCAGTTTCAAAGTAAATAATTTGTAGTTGTTCTTTGGTAATTATAGAAGTTTTGTAAGTTTACTAATAAATCTCTATAAAAAGTTAAGTTTACTGTTCAATAAATAGTTTACTGTTCTTGATATCAGTGAGAACACTTAAAGTACCTAAAGAACTCTAAATAACCATTTCATACAAAACATTTCAAAGAAAAAGTTAGGGTTTTAAAGTGGCTCAAATGTTTTCTAAATGTTCGTTTTAACCAAACATTTAGTAAAGTTGTGTTGAAGTGTTATCAACACTTCAACAGTGCTGAACATGTCTTTGCTTTTTGCACAGGTGTTCATCACTACCTTAAAACAAGTGTTCACAGCTACCTTAATACAAGTGTTCACCATTCCATCGCTGTACATCCATTACAAAAATGTCCCCCCCCCTCGTACAGGTAATTGGCAAGGTATTCAACATGTCCAAAGACAAGAGTGTACCGGACATAGTCACCTACGCCCAGTTTGAGTCAACAGCCCGCTGCCCGACCTTCAGGTGAGTCATCCACACTCTTTCTTGGCTTTAGGTGAGTCAAGCTGGTGTTGCCCCAGCTTTAGGTGAGCTAAGCTGGTGTTACCCCAGCTTTAGGTGAGCCAAGCTGGTGTTTCCCCAGCTTTAGGTGAGCCAAGCTGGTGTTGTCCCAGCTTTAGGTGAGCCAAGCTGGTGTTGTCCCAGCTTTAGGTGAGCCAAGCTGGTGTTGCCCCAGCTTTAGGTGCTCCTATTTAGCTATTTAGGTGAGCCTTATAATCACTGTACCACCGCCAGGTGACTCATACACTCGTTAAAATTTTGACAAACACATATATTCCAAGTATGTAAATATCAGAGTTGATTGATATCAGCTAATTTCTAGTGAACTAGCGACCTGGAATTTCTTGCAAATGTACATTTCTCCAGATCTGCAGGTCATAAAAGTATTTGTGTGTACGTCTGATAACATACTACTTGTGAAGGAGGAAATGTATATGTTTATCTCTCAATGTTTGGTAATATGTTTATTGTTTGTGATGTGTGTCTATGTATGTATTAACACGTTGTACTGAACGGGGTGAGAATAGCTTGAGCTACCTCATCCCTTTGTGTGTATTTTACCTCAATAAACTTATTTCAATTTCAATTTCAATTTCCAGATCTGCATGGCAGGCTCGACTGCTCCTTACGACTTTCACACACGCGCGCGCTGCGCACGCACACACAGTTGATTGACAGTTGAGAGGCGCGACCAAAGAGCCAAAGCTCAACCCCCGCAAGCACAACTAAGTGATTACACTCACACACACACACACACTATAATAATAATAATAATAATAATGTTTAGGAAATTTCTTCGTGATTTCTATCCGCAAGAGTACATACATAAAAACAATATATGAACAGTGGAGGATTCATAAATAACACGAGTACAGTGCCTAATAGCACTAATACGCACAGCGGCTCTCTCTCTCTCTCTCTCTCTCTCTCTCTCTCTCTCTCTCTCTCTCTCTCTCTCTCTCTCTCTCTCTCTCTCTCTCTCTCTCTCTCTCTCTCTCTCTCTCTCTCTCTCTCTCTCTCTCTCTCTCTCTCCTCTCCCCCCCCTCTCTCTCTCTCTCTCTCTCTCTCTCTCTCTCTCTCCCCCCCCCCCCCCTCTCTCTCTCTCTCTCTCTCTCTCTCTCTCTCTCTCCTCTCTCTCTCTCTCTCTCTCTCTCTCTCTCTCTCTCTCTCTCTCTCTCTCTCTCTCTCTCTCTCTCTCTCTCTCCCTCTCTCTCTCCTCCTCTCCCTCCTCTCTCTCTCTCTCTCTCTCTCTCTCTCTCTCTCTCTCTCTCTCTCTCTCTCTCTCTCTCTCTCTCTCTCTCTCTCTCTCTCTCTCTCTCTCTCTCTCTCTCTCTCCATTCGCACACATTCAGAAGAAGACCATACTGTACGCTTGTTAACACCACAACTAATGTCAACAGATGCAAGACTCGATTTAATGACGACCGAGCCTCCATCAACCCCAACATGCTCATCCAGCTGCGGGTGTACGGCTATCAGGACCACCTCCAGTAAGTCTGCGGTGTGTAGGTATGTGTATATGGGTGTACATATATCTTTGTAAATATTAGATTATATATATAAGCGGTAGTTACGTGCACAAGGATTAACAAGCTTACGTATCCACAGCAATGTGCTGCTTCCCTATTCTATATGAAAGATTACACAGTGTAGATCAAAAACCAGCTATAAGTTCATCTAATATTTCCATCTCACAGGATGGTTAGTCATACATGGAATCAGGAGAGAAAATACCTGCCTCAATACAACAAATTAATTAAATTTGACTAAATAATAACTTCATGATTTTCACAAGAGCTAAGTACTAAATTATGAAAATATTGTATTATAATTATTTTTTACCAGTTTCTATAAGATTCCTCTATAATAATGTCTTTTTTTAACAAGCTTAGGAATACACAGCAATGTGCTGCTACCCTATTCTGAATGAAAGATTACAGTGTAGATCAAAAACCAGCTACAAGTTCATCCAACATTCCCACCTCACAGGACGGCCAGTCATACATGGAATCATGAGAGAACGTAAAATGTAAGGCTGATCTATTAGCCTCCACTAGCAAAATCTGGGTACAACACAAGAATATCTTCCAATAATCATGAGTGTATGAAGTAATTACAGAGCTCAAAGTACCTTATACCATTTGGTCTGAAATCACTGATAACAGGGCAATCACAGATATAGTGTTAGAGAATATGTCCCAGCTTTTGTTCACATAGTTTACAATTGGAATGTTGAATCACCATTTATTCATTAATTCATTACCTGCAGCCACCCGCCATAGATATCGATATCCCAGCCTAATTCTGGCAATTTCAACGTCACACTGTCTAGTGGATGTTTTATGCTGCCCGTACATATAATTGTGCTTCATATAAGTGCTTCCTCCGTGACCCAGCAGAAGGAAGAGTAATAATTATTAATTAATTATATTATTATTATAATAATAATTAAAAATAATTGTAATTAACATTTATTACTCTTCCTTCTGCTGGGTCATGAAGGAAGCCGGCCTTGGGTGAAAGGGGGGGGGGGCTGTGACGATCTCTGTCTAGAACCCGTAGATGTGGGGCTCGGACGTCCACCTTCTGGGGCTCGTGCAGCCCAACCTCTGTTTCAGGAGGTTGGGGTTGTTCTTGCCCTTGCCGTGGGTGGTTTTTCTCCAGCCCCGACCACGGCGGTCTCCGGGTTTGGAGAACTCCGTGGTCGGAGCTGTACCTTCCACCTGCACCTTCTTTTACTAACTTCGAGGTAAACTCAGGAGCTGGAGGCCCTAGGGCAGTTTGTTGTTGCCTTTAACCTCGTTCTAACGGTTCCTGCGACGGCGCTGGAAACAATCATATTAGACTTTGCCTTTCCATTGGAGACTTTCGGAGCCGTGGAGAGGGGGGACCTGCTGCATGGATGACAGCTTCTCCTCTGTATCAACCTACCCTGGCTTTGCGCCCTGGAGAGGCCTCTCCAGACCGACAACCCGAGGGCAACTCCATAGTCTCGTGAGACTATAGCTACTACCTACTACTACATATAATTCTCGGTTCTAAACTTGTCATAGCTCTTTATACTCATGCTTTCTGGCTTTTGAGTGTCAGTAACTGTTCTTCTGTCTTCCCTAATTTCCTGAAATGTTGCGGCTTTTACACCTCAAAGATTGAAATGTCCATATCCAACTCGATTTCAGGTTTATCGCATGCAGTTTTAACTGCCTTGTCTATGCCATCATGCTGGACAACACCTGTGTGAGATGGTATCCATACAAATGAGACCGAAACTCTTGCTCTTTGCATTAATAATGTTGTTTACAATGGATGTTACAACATTCCTAGTATCTATTTGATGCTTGTATGATTCTTGTGCATCTGGGGGCTCCAAGAATTATTCCCATGGCTTCATTTTGAATTTTCTCTAAAGGTTTCAGCCTATTGCTAGGGAGACTAACAAGGTGCAGAGCATGGTAGTCGACTAGTGACCTAATGAACATCATGTAGAACATTCTGGAATATTCGACATTAATACCAATGTGCTTTCCAGCAAGCGTTTTAAGAGGATTTAGCCTTTCTTTAAGCTTAAGCTTAAATTGTTCACTTACAATGTTACTATTAATATTCACGCCGAGGTATTTGTATTGCCTTCAGTTTTCAATGTGCTGATCATTGACTTTAAAAACAGGAGGATTTTAGGGGGCATAATTAAGGTCCTAGTCTTACTTGTGGAGACGATAATCCCACCTTCAATACATTTATGTATTGGGGCTCTACTACCCAAAATCACTTACGTCCTCTAATTACTCAACACAAAGCTGCTATTAGGTCAATATCCAATTCTGGCCCCAGACATCACTCGGTACCCCTATTCAAATCCCTGAATATGTTAGACATTAAGTCACTGCACATTCTCTCATGTGTACTATACATATACAAAACGCTAAATTGTAATGCCAATCCTGATCTCAAAAGCTTCATAGAAGGTTGTAACAGAACCGTTTATTTCCAGCGTTTACAATTCAACGCTGTTTTAATGTAATTTTCTGTAATAATTTGTAATTGTATTTGTGCTGTTTTTTCAACAATGTTCCCCCCTCTTTTACCTCTATTTTTATTTGTACTCAACGCATTTTTTCTTTTTACCCATTAGTTTTAAGCTTTAGTCAGTAGTGTTTTTTCCTGCCCGAAACGCTTTGCGTAATAGTGGCTTTAGGCATTGTACGTACTAGCTCTTATCTATAAAGCCAACAAACTTTGTAAAATCTCTTTATGTATGTACCTTTGCCTAAATAAAAATTATTATTATTATTATTATTATTATTATATGTGCAAGTGTGTCAAGGAGAGTCTGTGGCCAGCTGTTACTGTTTGCAATGACGCAAATGTCGTCTGCATAGCAGATGACAGCCTTATCGACCTGTGTAGGTATCTCAGCTTTTAGTCTATGCAACAGCACATTGAAAAGCATAGGACCGAGGACTCCTCTCAGAGGTGTGCCCAATTTGACTTGATTTTGATTTCGGCGTAATTTTGGTGTGATTTTGACTGTTAAAATTTATTACAATGTACCTGTAAAATTTTTTTTGTTAATTTTACTGTAATTTATCTACTTAAAATTATTTGTACCTGTAAAGTAAAGCTGTAAAGTACCCGTAAACATTTTTTGTCAATTTTACTGTAAATTATCTACTTATAATTATCTGTCAAGTAAATAATTATCAAAAGAAGGCACCAAGCCGGGAAGGCTATGTAGCACCACCAAATGTGCAGAATAATCAGAGGGCGCTAAATATCACCAAGGATGCCAATACGAAAACAGAAGCGCATAAGGCGAACGATATCAAAGGTATCCGATTCACCAAGGATTCTATCGAAAACAATTAACTGCGAAGAACGGTCGGAAAGCAAGACACGCTCGTCCTGGAAGTCAGGACATTTAACAAGAATGTGCACGACTGTAAGAGGAACAATGTAATTTGGACAATAAGGAGCAGGGCAGCGCTCCATTAAGTGACTGCGAGTTAAAGGCATATGGCCAAGACGTAACATAGCCACAGCCGGTTACGGTGGTAGGAGGAAGGCCATAGGGGACACCCGACCCTTAAGAGTACGCAGTTTGTTACCAATAATTGAAGACCAACAATCCTGCCAACGGGCAAGGATGGAGGAATGAAAAACTGGGTAAAAGTCGGAATACGGAATACCTTTACGGGAGATGGGACAAGCGTGGATAGCTTCCTTAGCAGCAGCCACCGCACGCTCATTTAAAGAAACGCCAACATGGCTGGGAACCCAGCAAAACTCTACCGACTTAAATTTACTGGAGATAAGAAACAGCCAATGTTGAATCTCAATGATCACAGGATGGACCGGATTAAAGTACCCCAAAGACATGAGGGCACTACGAGAGTCAACTACCACCACAAAGCAGGATTGACAACGAGAAAGCAGGAGACGAAGAGCATAGAGAATAGCATAAAGTTCTGCGGTTAAGATGCTAGCCTCCGGAGGGAGGCGACACATATAAGTATGGTCAGAAAAAACAACAGAGAAGCCCACACCGTCAGCAAACTTAGACCCATCGGTGAAGATGGAAACGGAGTGGGAGTGGGAAGAAACGTGCTCAATGAAAAGGCGTTTCAGGACCGTAGGAGGGGTAAAAGCTTTAAAGATGCAGGTCAGGGAAATACAAAATTTGGGAAGGGGGACCCTCCACGGGGGCAAGGATGGAACAATACGAGGAGAAACATTGGGAAGACGAACCGAAAGAGAATCAAGTAAGCGAGACAAACGGACAGAAAGAGGAAGGTGGTGAAGAGGAGCAGGAACCACAGGATGGGTATAAGTCGAAGCACGACAGAGGCGAGAATGAGGATGCTGTAAGGATTGCGCAAGATAGTGAAGACAGTAGCTGTCACGGCGGTCCTGGAGAGAGAGGAAGCCAGTGTCAGCATACAAGCTGAGGATAGGAGTGGAATGAAAGACACCAGAGCTGAAGCGCAACCCAGTGTGGTGCAAAGGATCAAGACGGCGAAGAGTAGAAGGAGAAGCAGAAGAGTATGCAGGGCAACCATAATTGTGTTCAGACAGGACGAGAGAGGAGTGCAAACAGAGGAGCGTGCGCCTATCTGCACCCCAAGAAGTATGGGACAAAACCTGAAGGAAGTTTAAGGGCCTTAGAGAATTCAACTAAGATGTAAGAGATATGGAACGACCAGGACAAACGAGTGTTAAAGAATAACCCTAAAAGCTTCGCGGAATCTTTGTACACAAGGGGATGACCATAAAGCAACAAAGAGGGATGAAGAACGACCCGCTTCCGAGTAAAAGTCATAGCACAAGATTTGGTTGTAGAGAACTTGAAGCCATGATTGGTGGCCCAAGATGACATAGCATCAATTGGAAGTTGAAGCCGCCATTGAAGGAGAGGCGAATCATCACCTCGACAGCAAAGAGTAAGATCGTCAACATAAAGAGCGGAGAAGATGTCAGAAAGGAGGGAGGAAAG